ATGAGGATACTAATTTGGATGTTACTCAATACAATAGACGAATATCTAGAAGAATAGAGCTCGCAATATTTTTATGTCGGTTAATATGCGGTTTGGTATTACACTCATCAAATCTTGTTTGACGAAATATTTCAGACAGATTGTCTGTTATAGATTATTCATTGTTGTCTAGGCAATCTGTCAATAAATAATACGAACGTCTGTCTGTTTTATTTTTGTATATAACAATTCGGCTATAGGTTAATAGGTTTTTTCCGGACCCTGAAGTGAAAAAACCCAAAAGGGGAAGGCCATGTTTACGAGGCCTGGTAACAGACATAAAAAACTTCTAGACTGGTTGAGTCTATAAATGTATAATTTCGTATATCACATTAACTTTACATACTATACTTATTTCAGTTATTAAAAGCACAGATAAGATAATATTACATATTAAAAGTAATGCTTATGTCTATATATATATATATATATAACTCAAAGGTGACTGACATAGTGATCTATCAACGCACAGCCCAAACCACTCGACGGATCGGGCTGAAATTTTGCATGCAGGTAGATGTTATGACGTAGTCATCCGCTAAGAAAGGATTTTGATTAATTCTAATAAAATAGGGGATGAAACTTTGTCAATTTTAAACCGATCGGGCTGAGACTTTACATGCATACAGTTACTATAACTTAGGCATCCCCTAAGAAAGGATTTTGATAAATTCCAGGATTAAGGGGATAAATTAACGCGAGCAAAGACGCGGGCAAAAGCTAGTAAAATATAAGTTGGGTAGTGCTTTTGTGCAAGTTACACAAAAACAAGTTTGTTAAGATCTAGTTTGGGTTCTAATATGAAGTGTGATGGCCTCGGTAATCTGGCGGTTTAGTACACCGGTATACTTCCGATGGTCGCGTGTTCGATGCCTCGCACGGTGAAACCTTTTTTTTGTGGGTATGATTGTTTGTATCTGTCTCGGTGTTTTCTACGTGTATATTAATAGGATGTTGTTGGTTATTATAATATATAGAGATTGAACTGCCATGTGCATTATAATATTAATCTTATACACTAAATAACAATAGTAAAATATAAGTAGGGGTGACGCAGTTTTTGCAGTGCTTAATATACAGTATATAAATTGTCTTACTAGCTTTTATTATTAATTGCGATTATTGCTATTAAAAATATTTGGAGTATCTAGGTTACTGTATCCATACCATTCTCATGATTTTCTTTCTAATTTATATCCCGAACCTGTGAACAAACTAAAAGTAAAACAAAATTTTACTAAATAAGTATCTTTTTGGTCTATGTTCGGTCTGAATCAGTGATTCCCAAAGTGGTCTATATCGACCCCCAAGGGTCTATGACAAATTGCAAGGGGTCTACGACAGCGGTCACCTTCTTGTTTTTACTTTATGTTTTTAACACTAATATTTACTACAGTAGAAATTTACAAATAATCAATACCAGGTAAGAATGGCGGGTCTACCCAAAACTGAAAAATATAGCAAGGGGTCTATGACACAAAAAAGTTCGGGAATCTCTTTTGATTTCTTTAGGTTTAATAATAGATCCTCATACTTTATTATAATTCATGCAATTTCTTCGTACATACAACGGGCCATATAACCAACAATAATATTTATCTGTTCTAAAATAAAATAAATATGTAACTATAAATTATCGAGAGCATATAATTATTAAAAGTAATAAGCAACTGTATGTATATAACTCAGTAATAATCAGAATTTATGTGGCAATAATCTATTTACTGGTTTACTAGATATGTTCTTTGATTAATAGTTTGTTAATTTTGTGGTTACATAATACACCGTATTACATCTCAATAACACTTTCCCACAAAACCGTCCCTAAAAAGAAATATGATACGGATCTTCTTAATGACCCACCATTAAAACGAAATCGATCGATTTATATGTCTATTTCATAACAGCAGATGTAAATATTACAAGTAAATTGTCCTGTAATCGAACTATAGGTATAATTACAGCAATTTGTTGTAATATCCTACATTTAGTCGGTACACCATTTAAGATGACTGAGTACTTTTATGTTCGGGGCGTAATATGTAATTCTATTGTGTACAAATGTAAATCTGCTCTATGGTTCACGCTTGCCGCCTCTAAGGTGGCAAAAGCAATACACGTCAGCTATGTTACGTTAATTTTATTCAATAGATAGTTTGATAAACGTTTAATTAGCATCAACGCATACACAAAAGCAATTGCTCGAATTTGGATAAATTTTTAATACTAAATTAATTTTGTTTTAAACTTGACGCGGTCGGACGTTTTATATTTATTTGCTGAGTTCCCGATATTTCGGCAGTGTTACAACTACCATGATCACGGGTAAACTGTAAAGTGTACTCGTGATCAAATAAATATAAAACGTGGTAAGATCCCGTGATTTTTACTAATTATACGTATAAATCAATTTTGTATGTACTTTTTACTGAAGTAAAATAGTATATAAATAATAATAATAATAATCTCAGGACAATTCACACAGCTCCATCTAGACCCAAGTTAAGCTAGCTAAAGCTTGTGTTATGAGTACTAGATAACTGATACATATACATAGATGGATTTTTTTTGTAAATAAAACATATTTTTCACAGAAAATAACCAGACCGATACAAACAATCGATAGAAATGTAACGATTCTTTACAATTTGACTTCAATAAGTAAGTAAGTGATGATGATGAATGGCATAGATTTCGGGTAAAATAAACAAAATAATATGAAGCTCATAAATCAAAATTTTAATAATTATAGTACCTAAATATTATAAAATTTTAATAATATTGACGACCTCGGTGGTCTAGCAGTCTAGCACACCGCTTTACGACCGATGGTCGCGGGTTCGATTCCTCGCACGGCACAAACATTTGTATTCATGAGTATGATTGTTTGTATCGGTCTGGGTATTTTCTATGTATAATATGTATGTATTTAGGAAAAAAAATATCTATGTATTTGTATCAGTTGTCTAGACCCATAACACAAGCTTTAGCTAGCTTAACTTGGCGCTAGATGGCGCTGTGTGAATTGTCCTGAGATTATTATTATTATTATATTATTATAGTACCATTAAGTTTGTATAATCCGTCAGTTTAATTGCATTATTTGAATACACATATATACATATTTAGATCGCTTCACTTTCTTTGGTCTCGGGTTTTACCTTGCGCGGTACAAACACTTGTATTCATGAGTATGATTGTTTGTATTGATCTGTTGTTTTTTATGTATGTACTAGTTACTCGCCCCGGCTTCGGCCGTACATGTAGTATATATGTAAACCTTCCTCTAGAATCACTCTATCTATTAAAAAAATCACTTCAAAATCCGTTGTGTATTTTTAAAGTTTTAAGCATACCTAGGGACGGACAGATAGCGATAGTGAAATTGTTTTATACTATGTAGTGATGATTTAGGAAAGTATTGTATCAGTTGTCTAGTAACCATAAGACAAGCTTTACTTAACTTAGAAGTAGATGGCGCTGTGTAAATTGTCCAGAGATATTATTATTATCATATTTTAATTTATTAAGGTTTCTTAAGAGTCGCCACGCCCACTTGACACCACTGGTCATTCATGCCTCCATAGGCTACGGTAACCGTTAACCATTAGGTGGACCGTATGCTTGCTTACTACCATAATGGTATAAAAATATATCAGGGCAAGAGGTCTATTAATCTCGTGTGTTATACGAAATTGTAGCGAAATTCAATTAGTTGGGTAGTTATTTTTAATTTACGCTTCGTTCTTGAAATATTAATACTAAAAATGTAACAAACGAGTGTCTGTCGACTACGACGATTGTTGTTATGTTATACAATACTTAATGAAGTCGTTCTTCCCACAGTTGAAAGTAAGCACTTAATTGTTTTTTTTTATAGTTTATTGTCTACCAAAATAATAGGATACATAACGGTATTGTTCATTTAATTTAAAGGCGAAAATTGTTTTTAATGAATATCCATAAAGATTTTGAAATACTTATTATTTCAAAATTTTAAATCATTTTTTAATTATGTTTTTTTTTTAATAAGAAATTAGGATTTTGTTTAATATTATACATAAACACCTAAATAAGTAAACAATGATAACAATCTGGAATTTAAAAACAGAAAATCTCTAATCATAATCTAATTCAGTTTCGTGTCAGTTCTTTTAATATATATCTATAGAAAGAACTGGATGGTAGTGAAGAAAAATAATTCAAAAACTTGACGTTCATTAGCGACTAAAATTTTGTATAATACATGAATAAATAAATCATTTTAGAATTTGTTAGTTACCACTCTAGTCCAGTCTAGACACTATTGTCGTACTATTCAAGCTGGTTGCATCTTTCCTTCTTTGAATGTGGAATTTTGTCAGAATAATGGACATTAAGTTCGTAAGACTCTTAACGGATGAGCGAAATTTTTTTTGCAGAAAATAATTTCATGAGAATGTTAATTTTATTTTTTTTTAAATAAAAAATCAATACAATAAGTGTATAGTATATAGTTCTATATATTCATGTAACCCTACACGTTAAGGGTTACATGAATATATAGAAATAAACGTCTCTGAGTTTTATAAATGTTTTAAAGTTTTATAAGCAGGTATTTCTTTAATTAGTATTATATTTTTACAGCCCGTAGTGCTAAATGGCATATAATTTTGCTAATTGCCTCGTCATAGAGCTAAAATATTGTTCTGTGATATAAGAAGTCATAACACAGAACATCCCTACTAGTCATATCTGCCGTGACCACAGATACTTATAAAATGTTGTAAGTATCAATTACAATATATATCAATTTCAGGGTTTATACTAGATAGTTGGAATACTACAGAATAATCATAATACTATTATTGCATGAAATTGGATCATCAACGAAGCGCTTTTACATATTATACTGAAGAGCAATGATATCATACCACTATCGCTTTTCTGCACGCCAATATGTAGTCTAGTGCGGTATTTAACAACAAACAGCTGATACGCGCGACCACTTTCTGACCGGCGGGCCGGCCGAACGCATATACGCAACGAATTAGATTAAAAAATCCTTGTAGGTACCAATCTATAAATCATTAATTCCTTTGCACTAATTTTTATTACAATATTTAAAAAAAAAGTAGTTTGATTAAGAATAAAACGTACCGTAAATTTTCCCGCGCGAAATTTTTGCATAGGTTATGTACGCGGTCAATTACCGAGTGTAATTGATGGTACGAGAGATTTTCTTTTTAACTAGTGCCCTGTTTAAATTATAGGATTTCCTTTGGCTGCGCTTGCGTGGAGGCTTTCGTCGCAACGGCGGATATGTGGACAGACAGACAGATTGTTGGGTCAACATGTGGTGATTATCAGGGGGAGTAGGAGTGATTGTGACTGCTATAGAAAATAGTGCTTGTTTTGTGTGAACATTGGACGCTCTGCAGGACTTCGTGAACTGTAAATAGAATTATTTCAAAATGCTGATTTTAAAGGTAAGAGATAAAAATATATATATCTAATTAATTTCAACTTAAGTTAGTGTTAAATGCAAAGTTACTTAGTACGTTATAAAGATGATTTTTTTTCTGAAATGACAAAGGCGAGTTGAAGTTTTACCTGATTAAAAGTGGCAACCATAGACCATAAACATGTACAGCACCATATGATAATCACATTCTGTGGTATCCTTAATTCATTGCCATTCTTTTGGAACCAATATGTCATACCTAGTGATACAGTATCCAGTAATTTCGCTGCCATATCTCTCACCCTACAATGTTAGTTACGCAAAAAGAACATTTCACACTAATACACTATTTTTCTTATATTTAATTTCATTAAGTGTTATTTTACGGAAGTCTACTTATGTTTAATTCTGCTACCATTAGCATGTGTGTAACAAATACTCAGTGCGGAAACTTGTTTATCGAACAGTCAACACTAGGTTTCGAAGCTATATCCGAGCTCAATTCAGTCCCTATATAAAAATGCATTTACATACTGCATATAACAGCATTTTTACCTTATATACCATAGATCTGCTGATTACTTTTTTTACTTAAGTATTCGTATATTACTACAGAAATTTCTTCTTAGTCGCATAGAAATTATTGACTGCAAAATAGCATGCTATGGAATTCGTTTATTTTTAATACTGCTGCTTATTCAAACTAAATATTCTGATCAGCTTTAGCATAAATGAAATAGAAAGTAATGAAACATCATGATATTTAATTCTATATTATAAATTAGAATTACTAAGTCGATTATCGCGTCTTAAGTGCGTACCTAATTATTCTTCTTTTTATTAATGTCAACTCTATGACTCTGTAAACACAAGAGATTAGATAATATACATACTCCTATTTATAGTAAGACGACTTCGTTGTATCTAGATTTTTAAAATTAAAAAAAGAGAAAGTTAAGAAATATCTTATCCTATTTAAACATTAGGTAGAGTATCTAGACCCTTAAAATTTAAAAAAGAAAGTGTAGAAACATCTTTGCCTATTTAATATTGTCGTTATTAGGTAGAAATAGAAATAGAAATAGAAATAATCTTTATTCAAATAAACTCATTACAAGCACTTTTGAATAGTCATATTTTGATTCTACCACTCATTCGGAATGCAGATTCATCACAAGAAGAATGAGCAAGAAACTTGTGTGTTGCTCTTTTTCTCGTAGAAATGTTAACATTAAGTATTATTATGTGCGTGCATTACAGTAATAACCTTTTGCCCAGTAGTAATTGCTGCATTTAGGTGTCGTCGCCATGACATATCTATACATAACCATCATTGTAGTGTTGCGGTGATTTCAATAGCAACATCATTTTTTTTCTTCTAATACTGTGTATATTTCTATAATTTACATCTATGAAGTTCCGCTATCAGAAATGCTTATGTATGTCACATACCTATTGATTTTCTGAAGACAATTCTGTAAACATTAGTTCCAGTTACAAATAGAAATAAAAATAAGACTATTTAGATAGATAAGACATAGATAGATAATTAGTAAAGTAAACATGTGTGTACAAATATAACGAGGCGGCCTTATTACTGAAAACAATTTTTTGAAGATAACGTTAGGGTAACATATATTATTGTCAATATTATATTATTGCTATTTCTATATTCTTACATTATCCCATAAAATCAATATAAGTACAATAATCCACGCAATAAACCACGTAATCATACAGTAGTCTCTCAGTGATTGTCGAAATAATGGTTAATCTGCCTTAATACGTACACATAATATATCTTATGTTACACGACTATACTATAATTGGCCCTAAAATGAGGCAACAATGTTATTATAATGAAGAAAGTACGAATCACGGTTTTGGAATCATTCTTCGAGAATATTTTTTTTATATGACTATAAAAAGAAGAAAAAGACAAAGTTCCTACTGTTTCATGGATTGACCGTGGGGTGTCAGGTTCATCGTTTGGTAGAAAGCGAAACTCTGGAAGCTGATTATAAAAAAGAAAAAAGACTGCTATGGTTGCTTGTTTGCCACTATAATAGCAGTATATAAAAAAATCAAATCTGGTAGTAACATAAACTAGTCTCAGAATGGCTAACAAGCTGACGACGACTGGTGGTAAGTGGTAACCATCCCCTATATACATATGTACATGAACAGTGCTACATACATTACACTATTATATGGTACCGCTCATGCATTGCTACTCTCCTAATCTCAAGACTCAGATGCCAAGCCTCTTATCCTGTAATTTCACTGTCATAGCTTTTTCTCCACTCATGCCTTACCATTTCAATAAAATCTTGTCTATAATCTTATGTCTTATATTTTGTAATTTCACTGCCTTAAGTGTGCTTCAACCAAAACCGAAACAAAGCACACTGCTTGGTGGCTGAAATATAGATCGCTCCTCAAACGGACCAGTCAAGCCATACCGTACCATTTCGGAGGTTTATAATCAGCCTTGTATTCAGCAATTTAATTGCCTTAAGGCTGCTACAACCGAAATATAGCAAACTGCTTGACGGCTAAAATAGATGAGACGATACGTAAATAACTTTTTACAAGGTCAACCCAATGGTCAATTATTCTTAAATAATAATAATAAAGACATAAAAATCCGTCCTTATGTCCCACATTAATAGCTAGGTAGATAAATTATTATGGTAGACTGTCAGAGAGATATCGCGACTGTGACAATAGGCGATTGATCCGGATTCCTTAAAGTTTTTAGCGAGCAGGAGTCTCACAGCATCCGTTCACCTCCCTCAATGACTCCATGAGGTTCTCCAAGTAAAATAAACAATTAATTATCTAAGAATTTAATACAAATGAATAAAATCGGTAATCTTACATCCAGGCTTAGTGTTATGTAATTAAATTTGTTTATTTAATTGCATAACACTAAAAAATGGCAGTAGATTATTTAGGTAGATGTAAAATTAAGATTGTTTTTCTTTTAATTAGCGTGTATATATGTATGCAATCTTCCTAAATAGGTGTATTGGGAAATTTTAAAGCTCGCTTAGTATTATGTAAAAAAATAAATAAATACATTTGTATCAGCTTCATAATTAGTAATGTAAATGTGAAAGAAATATGCAAAATATTTAAACTGACACGATTGTATCCTAAGAGAACTGCGCACCGGCAATACAACTGTCTAGATTTAATACGTACATAATATTCTTATAATCAAATTGATACTGTAAATGTGAAAGTTTATAAAGATGTTTGGATGTTTGTTATTCAATCAAATGGTTGAACATGATTGAATTAAATTTATGTAGGTATAAATAGAACATATCCTAAATTAACGTTTAGGTATTTTTAATATACACGGTGAAAGTGTTTTGGAGGTGAATTCAATAGATAATATTATATGTACTAACTAAATACTAAAATGTTTATATTTGAAAAATATAGAAATGTAGTCCTGATGACTCAATTCACATGTGGATTTATAATATTATTGCTCTAAGGAATGTACCAGACCGTCATAATTCGTTAGTGGAATAGTTTACTTTAGTTCATTATAGATGGAGTAAAAATAAATATATAATAATTTTTTCTCCATCTATGATCAAGTCATATAATAAATTATTCTACCATGGCCCATGGTAGTCCAGCGGTTTAGATTACCACCGCACAAATAGAATCGCACCTACGATCTTCCGATGGTTGCAAGTTCGATTCGTCGCTCGATGCAAATATTTGTGTTCATAAGTATGATGTTTGGGTGATTTCTTCGTTATAATATGTATGTATTTAAAAAATATATATGTTTAAGTATTTCTATAATTTGTCTAGTACCCATGACATAAGTTCTGCTCAGCTTGAAACTAGATGGCGTTGAGTGAGTTGTCCGAGACTCGGTTATTATTTTGCTTGTACCTTTGTATCTTTGACATAAAAAATGTATTAAAGAATAAAAACTATTGGTTAAAATTTCTGATGAATTCACCATATGTTGGCTAACCTAACTTCATCTATCAGGCTTTACTGGTATCTGGCAAGCGTATAAATACCGTTTAGACAGTCGAGGCGCATCATTTTATTGGAATGTTAAGAAAATACTATATTGTAATATTATGATTGTTAGGTACTACTACTAGTAAAAGTATACCTAACTACTTTCTTTTAAATAATAAAAAAAAGAAATGCAGTTAGGTATGCCTCAATAGAGATGTTATTTAATCGAACTCAATTTGATTAGATACCCGTTGATTTGATGATTATTGCATAATAAAGAAAATAACTACCGCTTAAATGAGGTACTAGTTTCTATTTATGTCCGGATACAAATATTATGGCAAATGATAAGAATATGAGCATATTAGGCAACAGTCTCACCGACGGCGAGAAAGCAAGAACGATATTTATTTTTTCATCCTCGAAAAGTATTAATTACTGTTTATTGGACTTGTTTCTTAATACATGAATAGTAAAAATAGTTTTAAATAATTGAATGTACCATAGTAGACTTTGTAAAAAGTCCTCAGTTATACCTATTTCCGGCTACAGAATGTTTTGCTTGATTTGCTTTGTATGGAATACATTAGTAACAGACAGAGACTTTGAAAACTAATACATGAAATTTATAGCCTATATTATTCTGATGTATAAGCTACATTACTGCAAAGATTTATCAAAATACGTAAAGTACTTTTTGCGTGAAAGAGTAACAAACATCCATCCATCAAACTCACAAACTATCCCGATTATAATATTTATTTTGTTAACTAGTAAGATAGGTAAGAATTTGTTTTGTTAACAGGGTAAAACAATGTTATATATAAATTAGTTAAATTTTTTTTTAAACCATTATTTATGATTTGTTCGGACAATGGTTTTCAATGGAACAGGTGGCCTAGCGTAGTGAGAACGGAACGTGTTGAAGTAGTTAATATGCGTATGCGCAAAGCGTTTAAAGATTACCACTTTTGGAGTGTTCTAGTTTAAATCACTTTCGGCCTACGCGCCTGCAATAATTGGCAT